ACGTACCTAATAGAACTATGAACGTACAGTAAGCAACTGTTTGATTTCACTCAATTAGGCCACATGTTTTAAAGAAAATCTACTGAATTTATCTGAAACGGGTAACAACAACAACAACAACAATAAATAAATAATAATAAAAAAGCCCAGCAACAACAACACTCTGGACACTTGGGCATTTTATTGCAAAGGTTATCTTTAAATGTATCTATAAAAAGTTATCTTTTCGATCCTTTTTATACTCATTTTCCTTTACAGGTATTTTGAAAATGTCTTTGAAAAGATGATAAGCCTTGAATTAAACTATTAAATAAAATATTTGAAAAAAAAATGAAGTTTCATTAATGCAAAAGCATTTGCAATTGATTAACAACATCATAGGCTCACAACAGGTCATTAATTATAGAATAATTAACTTCCTTATGGAGAAAATACATGAAGAAACTTAAGAGGCTGCACTTTATTAACCTCAAAATAGTTCAATCTTACAAATGCTGATATTCAGATTAAAAAAGACAAATTTATAAATACTGAAGCCTTTCATCAAATGAAAATGTGTGCTGTACCTACTGAAAAAAAAAACAGCTTAAACCAGCCTAGGCTGGTTGGCTGGTTTTAGCTGGTTGACCAGCCTGGTTTTGGGAGGTTTTGGCCATATTCAGACTGGGATCCAGCCATTTCCAGCCTGACCAGCTTGACCAGCCTAGCAAAGCTGGGAGCCCAGCCAAAACCAGATATGTCCAGCTTAAACCAGGCTGGTCAACCTGGTTTTAGCTGGTCATTTTTCAGCCTGACCAGCTAAGACCAGGCTGGAAATGGCTGGAAACCAGCCTGGAAATGGCTAAAACCCCTCTAAAACCAGGCTGGTCAGCCAGCTTAAACTAGCCAACCAGCCTAGGCTGGTTTAAGCGTTTTTTTTTTTTCAGCAGGGGTCAAAACTATTTAAAATGTTTAATACACAGCCTTTATTGTTCCTCCATCTTATCCCTGCAATGTTTTCACAGAGGAGCCCTTGGTTAATTGAAGAGCATGAGAAAAAACGATTTAGCTCACGATAAAGTGAACATTTTCCGGTCTGATGCTCGTAGCGAAGGTGGATCTCTGCGATCGACGCAGCATCATTTTTCCCCATTCGAGACAGAACATAAACAAACGACCTGTCTGTGACAACAGGCCCACTTTGGCGTGACATGTTTCAATTCATTAACTTCAGCACAGACACCTCATTCATTTCTAGCCATCGTTCTTCTGTCCTCTCCAACAAAAATGAGTTTAGCATGCGCTCGTGGCTCTCGGGGTGGGCCATGCTCATTACTTCATTTGTCTGAACCACTTGTAGAAAAAAAGACAAAAAGGAGGAAGAGCCAGACGTAAATAGAGAGACAGTAAGGGAGTGAACGAGAAAGAGAGATCAAGGAGGGGAAAAAGAATGAGAAAGAAACTGGGCAAAAGAGAATAAATCACTGACTCTTATCTTTGCACGGAGTTGAGTGAAACCTCCTACCAGAGAAAAGACCAATCCTAACTTTTAATGGCATTTCTTTTGCTTCTGTCTTGCCATTTCGCTCTGAGCTCTCCTAAGATTGACAACCACCAAGAAAGAGCGGACCAACCTGCAGCTACAGGAATCGTTTTGCAATTAGATGCTCCGCTGTGAAGCTTTTCTACCTGGGAACGATCTGGCTCACAGCCCAGCGTCCACGGATGGGCTTATCGACTCATTGATTGGGCTATTTTACACTCGGTGACGTCTGAGCTATTCGTGCATTAAGAAGCACCGCCAGCTGGCATAAACACACACACACACATTCATATTTAGCAGTCTGAATGCATCTTGAAAAGGACAAAACTTTCTAATAGCCCCAAACAACTGAGCGACAAAAGCTGGACGATGTTTACAAAACAATAAACAAACGATGATACTGTGTGGATTAATACAGCTACTGCAGCTATGGTATAATAGATTATTTTTCACTTGATTTATATTTCTTTTGAGGAAAATGTTTCCAGTGTTTTACCTGTTGTTTTAAAGGGACAGTTCATCCAAAAAAATAAAAGTCTGTCATTATTAACTCATTTCTGTCATTATTTACACAAGTCATTATCTGGACTTGTTCCTATCCAGTTACATTTTTTTTCTGTTGAACGCATACTTTGGGCCCATTGGTACCAATTGAGCATTGTGTCAATGCCACAGTCTACCTGAGTATTGTTGCTGACCATGTCCATTCCTTTATGACCAAAGCATATCCATCTTCTAATGGCCACTTCCAGCAGGATAATTCACCATGTCATAAAGTGCGAATCATCTCAGACTGGTTTCTTGAACATGACAATGAGTTCACTGTACTCAAATGGCCTTCACAGTCACCAGATCCCAATCCAAAAGAGCACCGTTGGGGTGTGGTGGATTGGGAGATTCGCATCATGGATGTGCAGCCAAATCTGCAGCAACTGCTTGATGCTATCATGTCAATATAGACCAAAATCTCTGAAATATTTCAGGTACCTTGTTAAATGTATGCCAGGAAGCAAAAAGGGGTCCAACCCGGTACTAGTAACGTGTACCTAATAAAGTGGCCAGCACGTGTATATTGAACAATGTTGGAAACCTGAAACTATTGGCTTCCAAGGTAGTTATTTTTCCTGCTATGAATGTCAAAGGGTAAAGGTTTCCAACATTCTTCAAAATTTCTTCTTTTTTGTTCAACAAAAAAATTAAATAAATAAAACTGGGTTAGAACAAGTCAACAGTGAGTAAATGATTTTTTGTGTGAACTATCCTTTTAAATAACTGGTTAAACATTGGAAACATTTCCCTCAAAAGAAATATAAACTTTGATTATGTAGCTGTATTAATCTATAACTCCATATAAAATCCAGAAACTAAGCTTTTTTTGGTAAACGGCTTTCTAAAGGGTTAATGGTGCCAACTAATGATCAACAGTAAAAATTACAAATTTTACCTCTTCCCAACAGGGAAAACCACCAACAATCAAAAACACATGATTTTATGGTGTCATGGTTTTGCAATAAAAAATGTGGTTATAATGAAAGTTAATGGGGCAAAAACAGCCACCAACAGTAAATAGGGAGAACAAAATGGAAATCAATCAAAAACACTGCATCAAAGAGAATGTTGTTTCACATTTTCAAGACTTTAATAAAAGGTTTATTTGTTTATAAAGTAATAAAGTTTATTTTTAAAACATGTCATTTTGTGAGTTTTTTTTGTCTCCGAATCAGTAACATCATTTATGAGTTTGGCAAATAAAGAGGTAAAATCCTGTAAATAATAATAAACAAAAAAAAATTAGTAGTTTTGATCAGGACTGAGGTTGATTAATAGATTAATTAAAAAAAATGGACAAAAATAATTATCTGATGCATTTTTTCAGCAGTTTTTTATCATATGTTTCCATCCCTAACATAACAAAAGGCTAGCAAATTTAGTAGTGGTATAACGGATCACAAATCTCACGGTTCGGATCACACTACGGTTTTTGAGTCTTGGGTCGTACCATGTTTTGGATCAGCAAAAAAAGAGACAAATGTCATTTGCTTTCCATTTATTCAAAAATATTATGGCAAAAAACATTTAGTTTAACAAACAGAACTTACAACCTGTAATTTTAATAAAAATAAAAATCAAGAATAAACCAGCTGAAAAAAGGACATATTCAATACGAAAAGTTATCTTTGCTACTGTTGCTGTTAATGCTAAATATAAAAATCTAACATTTTGTACAACATGTCATATTTATTTCAATTAATGGTTCAACAATTCACACATAAAACTTTGTTTCATTACAGGTGGATCAATTTTGAAAACTTATTCAGTGACATAATTTTGATGATTGTTTGTCTCCACCTATTGGTTACACAATGTAATTGCCACCAGCGTCAAACATTTACCAGCATCACGTTCCATTAAACAGGGATTTTAATCTTTACCTTAAACATCAGTGTTTATATCTGAAATATAAACTGTTCTCCCAGTAATTCTGTGTTAATTAATTGTTTATAACTCACTGAAATAGTGTGAAAACTGAATCTCTCTCAATCAATTGCAGATTTGAATGCAGAAGAAGAATTAATAAACATATGCAAATCATTACCATTTATCATTCATGTTGCGCGGGTTCAAATTGAGATCACAATCTTTTACTGTTGAATTGTGCAGCTTTACACTGAATGGATTAATACAGGCTGAACAAATAGTATCAAACAAACACCTTTTATTTAATAATCTAAGAAAGCATCTAGGTAGGTCCTATCACAACTTCTTCCATTATCATTATATTTTACAGGGAAGCTAAAATGCTTTTATACACATGGTTTGAATGACGCAGGTGGCAATCTCTCTGCAGTTTTTATAAATGTTGGATTAACCTACAAGTTCAAAAAAAGTTATTAATCAGCAGGTTATGTGCGTTCAAACTGTGGATTGGGATCTGTACACCCCTAGAATTTAGTAAAACAACTATAGCAAGTTTTATTACATAAAAAGTCATCTGTTGTAAATGTTAATAAATTAAGTTGTTACTACACCCCTTGAGGAGTATCTTTATAAAAATTTAGCATTTTAACTACTTTGGCTCAGACTATAGATCTCAGACTTACTTTGGGAAACACTTGCTTAATTGTTTATTTCCCGAACGATGCATCATACAATGGTAGCTCAGCCGCGAGTTGTGTCGTTGTTTAGGAAACACACTCCAGATTGGCTGACCAAGAGACTCAATAAGCCAGCAGGGCACATGAGCACACGAAACACGTACTGCTGAAGTTAAGCTCAGAAACACAATCCACATGTAGTGTGTAAAATGTCAGTAACATCAAGCTATGTCTTATATCTGCTGTTTTAGATGCTCTGCTGGGTTTCAGATCAATAAGTCAGAGGCACAGGATAAGTGGTGTGATTTAACACTTCCTAACAGAGCATCTGAATGTTCAGACGGGACAGGCGCTTTAATATCACACAGGGAACAGTGTCTTACCTCTGGGGGTTTGGCTCATTGTGCTTGTCTCTCTCATGCTTGATCATCCTGTAGCGGCCGATTCTCACGTCGGGCCGAGACACTTTCATCCCATTGAGTGTGATTCTGAACAACAAGAAGAACAATGGAGAAAACCATGGTTAGCGGGTATGAGGTTTTATATTGACTGACTTATTGGCTTCATGCAGTCACAACAACGTCTAATGACTGTCATAATGGAGGTTTGAGGACAGAGGGCACAGCTGAACTTACAAACACTTGCTGATTGTTTCCGCTTTTTGTCCACATGTATTGCTTTCACCAGAAATCAAATGCTTTCTTACTTAGAGATTTTGTCCTGTTTCAAGTCCAAATATCTAAAAAAACGATTAAATCAAGAACCATTTTTAAGACAAAATGTGTCTTATTTTCAAAATTAGAAAGTTAAAAGTGCATTTCTAGTTTTAACAACCAAAATAATCAAAAAAGTGTATATCTTCCTAGATATCTCGACTCGAAACAAGACAAAACCTCTAAGTAGGGCAATATTTTTAGCAGAGTTCAAAGAACGTACTAAATTTGATGAAAATCTATTATATTATAGTTATTTCTTCATTCATTTTCCTTCGGCTTAGTCCCTTTATTTATCAGGGGTCCAACAGCAGAATGAACCATCAACTTATCCAGCATACGTTTTAGACAGTGGGTCCAGCTGCAACCCAGTACTGGAAAACATCCATAAACACTCATTCACACTCACACTATGGCCAACTTAGTTTATTCAATTCACCTATAGAGCATGTCTTTGGACAGTGGGGGAAATCAAAGCACCAGAAATCCACGCCGACATGGGGAGAACATGCAAACTCCATACAGAAATGCCAACTGACCCAACCAGGACTGGAACCAGTGACCTTCTTGCTGTGAGACGACAGTGCTAACCACTGAGCCACCGTGCAACCCTGTTATAATTATTATAATTGAAGTTAATTATACTGTATTATTAGTATTACCGTTATCATTATTATTAAATCATTACTAGAACTGCTCCTAACATTATCATCATTATTGCTGTTTATTATTATTATTATTATCAGTGTAGATTACTAATACACTACAAATACAGTTCTACTACTAGTATTTGATCTTCTTCATATTGTCATAATTATTATTTTTAATATTAATAATTGATGACTGCTGCTATTATGATAACACATTGTTCATATTTTTTTATTTTAGGAATCATAAATTCTGTAACTGCAATACTTAATAATAGGGAGTATGCAGAAGTATGCAGAAGGACTTTTAATTTTTCAGTAACCTGGGTCAAACGTTTCTGGTGAACTGTATGCCCTTACAAAATCGTCACGTTAAAGGTCTGTTTTCTTCAGGGGCTGATGACACAAAATGCGAGCCTTTTCAAATGATTTACTAACGGCTGTGAGCGTATCGCATGCTGCATTTGCGTCCTGCACGCTTCATGTTTTATAAATTGCCTGTTGCGCCTCGCACTTTTGCCGTTAAAAAAGTAAACTCTGAGCTAAAAAAGCATGTTGCGTCAGTCGCGTCATTTACATTCTCCAATAAATTGAAAGCAGAGACAGGGTTTGTGGTTTTGAGTTATCTGGAGCTGTAAGATTTCACAAATCTTGAATATCACAATGTTATTAAATATTGAAATTATAAAAAAAAAAAAAATTATACCAATATGCATAAAAAGTGCACCGCACTTCTTTTTTTTTGTCAACAAAAAAGCATTGTGGTGCGCCTCGCGTTTTTAGAACATTAGGGGCCGGTCACATCAAATTCGTTTTTTTTGTTTCAAAAACACGAGGTGAACCGCAATGCTTTTTTCTTAAAAAATAAAAGAAGTGCAGTGTACTTTTTATGTCACTATGCAATGGCTGAATCAGCTGGGTATTGTGCGTAAGTGTTCCTGTTGATATTGGTATAATTCATTCATTCATTTTCTTTTCATAATAGTCCCTTTATTAATCTGGGGTCGCCACAGTGGAATGAACCGCCAACTTATCCAGCATACGTTTTACACAGCGGATGCCCTTCCAGCTGCAACCCATTACTAAGAAACATCCATACACTCTCAATCACACTCATATACTTTGGACAATTTAGCTTACCCAATTCACTTATATCACATGTCTTTGGACTTGTGGGAGAAACCGGAGCACCCGAAGGAAACTCATGCGAACACAGGGAGAACATACAAACTCCACACAGAATTTCCAACTGACCCAGCCGAGGCTCAAACCAGCGACCTTCTTGTTATAATTTTAATATTAAATAATATTGTGATATTTAAGATTTGTGAAGTCCTACAGCACTGGATTTCTCAAAACAGTAACCACTAGTCTCTCCTCTATCTTCAAAAGTCTCCGTAGTCGTCTTGACAACAGAAACACTGCTGTCACTTCAAGGGAAACCCTACCTCTGCTTTCATTTGACTGATGAATGACTCGCGACTGACGTAATGTGCTTTTTCCACTCTGAGTTGACTTTTTTCAACCCAGTGGGCAATGGCAAAAATGTTCGATATGATCAGGCCTGTAAAAAGCACGTTCTGTGTGTTTGGCCCCTTAAAAATCAACAATCTTCACTGCCTGATTTATATAAGATATAAAATGGGTCTCAGAATGTACAGGAAGAACTGAATTAATTTATTTTTCCCGTGCAATGTCTTTAAAATATTATTTTACTTAAATGAATGCGTGTATAGGTGTAAATGGCTTTTCATTTTTGTTTCACGCTTGAAGAACTAAATTAATGCTGAAGTCTATTTAACTGATTATATTTTAATTACATTACAATATCGATAGTGTAAAAGGAACCCTATAAAAACCTTTAAAAAAATCACATTAATTCTTCACCGGAAGTTTATCAATATGAAAAAAACACGAGGCCTGCCTATCCCTTATTTATTACAATACAACATATTTATTGTTGAAGTTACTCATCATTATTATTACTATTAATTAGAATATATTTATTTATTCATCTATTATAATGGTTTAGTTTTCTATATGGTATTGAAGTAGACAGTAGTTTGTACTTCTCTATCAGTGAAAAATTAACATAGAATGACCATTAAGCGGCTACTGATAATCAAAGACTCATTAACCCACACACAAATGCCAGAAAATGTCAAATGAGCAGGAAGGAACAAGGCGGAAGCAGAAAATAAATAAATTAAATAAATAATTAAACCAAAACAAGTCAGTCACTGAGGGGAATGTTAGCTGATGAGAGCTGTCGGAGGAGGCTGGTACACACACACACGCACATACACACACACATACACACATAAACACGGCCAGCAGCACAATCCCATTTGTTTGAGTAACTACAGCTTAGAGCGACTCAGGATTGCTTGAACAATCCAACCATTCTAATCTGCCTGCTTGGCTCCAGGTCTTGGCATTAGTGCAAATCTTATGTTTGTCATGTGAGCATCGTGTTGTTTGAGCTCCCTCGTTTCAAAGGGATGAAGCCGTTCTTCAAGTATTTGATTAGATGGAAATCCTACTGAGGAGAATAAGAGCATGCCCGCGTGAGTGTGTTTGTGTGGGCTCCTATGATTTATTTAATTTTTTTTTATACCTCATCCTAACGACACAAGAGCAAGGCTTTATTCATAAATAATATAGCTGGAAGGATTTAAGGAAATCTCTGGGTATTCTTGACCCAGAAACAGAAAGAATTTCTGATGTCCTGAGATTATGAGAAAAAAAGACAATGTGAACAATGAAGAGCAATGCATGAAAGAGTGGATTTCTAAATGCCATTAAGGACAAAATGTCAAAATGGCCACATTTATATGAAGTATTAACCTGTCATTATAAATGTTAACTCAACAGTTTTTTTTTTTCCACAGTTGATATATCCAACCAAAATTGATGGTGAATAATCTCTTTGCACTCTATATTAACGATCTAGGCACAAAGTCTAAAGTGCATGGGTTGTGTGTATTCTCTTAATGAATTATTATGGGTGTGTTTTAAACGTGCATTAAACCAATCAGAGTCTCATCTCCCATTTCCTTTAAGAGTCAGTTGCGTCATGCCCATTTGACTTTAGAAGTCATTACTGCTCTAATTAAATGTTAAAAAAGAAAAAAAAGGTATCTTTATATAAAGGAAAAATAAATAAACAAGAAAAATGTCATGCTCTACACTAAATTCAGTCTAAATTTACGGAGGTTCCTGCTTTATGATAAAATGACAATGGAGGAAAATATATTTTATTCAAGATGTGAAAACTAGTGAAAAATAAGCACTTAAGAATGTACTGTATGCAATTATGTTCTGAAAATAGGATTTACTGGTAACATTTCTGTTTAGTTCACAATTCATGCTATTAATTAATCATTAAGATATTAACTGTTCATTAGTAGTTATAAAGTATCTTATTCTGCATCCCTAATCCTACCCAAAACTAAACCCAGCTTCTACCTTATGAACTATTAGTAAACAGCTGGTAATACCATAAATTGTGACCTAAACTAAAGCGTTACTGATTTACTATCTTACAAAACCTTAAAAATGCTCTATAACAAGACACATACAGTATACTTTTAATAAATTACTTTAAAAAATACACATTTTGCAGTGCTAAACCTCATTAAATTCAAGGTGAAAAATTCAAACCAACCAAAAAAAAAAAATAAAAATAAATGAATAAAATAATAATAATAATAATAATAATAATAATAAATCATTTTATTCATAAATGACGCTTTTCTGGACACTCCAGGTTGCCTAACAACAAGCATCAACAGACATACCAAAACAAATAAATCAAGCAATCAATAAAAAATAAAACAATGCTAAACAATTTTTTTTATACTTGATATACATCGGAGTATAAAATAACATGATAAAAGACAGTCATAGGAAAGCCTGCTTAAAAAGATGGGTCTCAAAATGAGATTTAAAAGTGTGAAGACTCTCACTGCTCCTTAGGTCCAGGCGAAGCAAGTTCTATAGCCAATACATGACTTAATTTTGCTACTGTAAATTACTGGATGGGAGACTGACGCTGTTATGTATTAATTCTGCTCTTTTTATTTTTGGGAAGTGTGTCTCTCTGCAGGAAGGAGCTGCTTGCTCCTT